CATTCTTGGAGCACAGGGAGCCCCCTCCCCGCATGCTGCAGGGGTCCGGAGGGCTGCGCTCCCTCCTCTGCCCTGAGGACGGGCTCCCAGCGGAGCCCCAGCAGAAGGAATTGCCTGCTTGGCCCTGGGTCATAGTTGCTGCAGAAGGATGGAAGCCCCTCACCCTGCAGCGGGGAGCAGCGGTGCAGAAGGGCTTCAAGAAGAGATGAGATGTGGAGGGGCCACCGGGCCACGCGAGTTCACTTGCGCAGACCCTGGAGCTCCGTGGGGCTGAGGGCGTTCTCTGTATTGGGGCTCTGTGACCAGGCTCGTTCGCTTCCAGCCTCCTGGAGTTAGCAAGCTGCCAGCGCTGGTCTTTAGCACTAACTGGGACTGAGCAGTCAGTGTAGCTCAGTGACGCCTTTGTGCACCTCCCAGGCTGCGCTTGTGGAGCGGTGGGATCCTCCCGAGGCGGGGGCGGGGCTGGCAGCCCCAGGAAGGGGCTGAGGCAGGAGCTGGGGGAAATCCTCTGCCAGGCTGCCTGCCCTGGGCAGCTCCGTGGCTTGGGAACGGTGTCCAATGGGCCTTGGAAATGTTGGGTTGGCTTGGCCAGATGGGAGAGAGCTTCAGAGGGGGAGGAAGCCCCCAGCCCAGCAAGGAGCGGTGGGCTGTCCTGGCAGCAAGCTGCTCCCTGTCTGCGGGAGCAGGTGCCTCCTGCGCTGCAGCGAGTGCCAAAAAACCCTTCAGTCCTGTTCAGTGTCACTAGGAAAGTTGGCCCTTGTCCATATACACGTCTAATCCTCTTTGCTTCCTCGGGATTTGCTGCTGCAAGAAGTTGGTAGGCTGCCTTACCGGGCACTTCGTTAAAAATCCTCTTTATTTGTCTCGTTATTGGCCGCCAGCGTGACTTGTGGGAGTGTGCTCCAGCTCCTCGCCTCTCCTGGCACGCTGCATCCAGCTTCCGTGCTTCCCTCTTGTTCTCTCTAGTCTCTTATCTCACGGAGACAGTTTTTTTGCTGTTCTCATAGCCTTTCTGGAACCTTCTTAATTCTGTGCTAGACAAGATAAAGGCGATGGGAGCGGAGCCCGGTACGCCGCGGAGCAGCTCCGCTCTCATCACAGGCCAGCGGTGTTTGCGTTGCGCCGCAGCACGGCTGGCGGTGGAACGGCCGTGCCCTGGCTGGCCCTCGCCGCGGCTGCACTGCTTTAGGCAGCAGTGCTGCGGTGCGGAGTTGCGTGTTTACTGGAAGAGAAGACTCCTGTCTGTCTGTCTGGGAGCGGGGAAGCGACCGAGAGGAGCGCTAAGCCCTGCTGGCATGGCTGAAACTGCAGGGCCCAGGGCCGCAGCAGAGCCCCGGGCGTTGCTGGCGGGAGTCAGGGCTGCGCCTGGTGAACGGCTGGTTAACGCTGACATTCCCGTCCCGTGTCCCTGCTCGTGCGTTCCAGCTGCCGTCTCCTGGTACGACGAGTTCCAGAGGCTCTACGACACCATCCCGTGCGTGGAAGTGCAGGCCCTGAAGGAGCACAGCGACCAGGTTTTGCACCTCAGCTTCTCCCACTCCGGCTGCTTGTTCGCATCGTGCTCCAAAGACTGTACCGTCAAGGTAAAGCAGCAGCGTGCCCCGTGCAGCCCCTCCGGCTTTGAGCGAGGGGGCTTGGCCGTGGGAGCAGGGCTTTGAGCAGGGCTCAGGCCAGGCCCTGCAGATCCTGAGTTGCTCTCAAAGCCGCAGAAGCGATGAGTGCTGCGAATGCAGCCTCGAGGGCTCTGGGTTCCCGGTCCTGCCCGCGTGAAGGAGCCTGAGGGGCCTTCCGGGCTCTGGGTGCTTGCGAGACGCGCGTCCGTCCCGTTGTGCCGTGGGTCTGACAAGGACGGTGGCGATAACGATCCGCTGCGGACGCTGTCTGGCGCGAGGGGTTGTCTTGGGAGGAATCTCTCTGAAGGTGCTGACAAATCCAGCTGTGACAGCGGCAGCACTGACTGCCTGCACGCCTTCTGCGCTGGCTGGTGGAGCAGCCGTCCTGCCTTCAGCCGCTCTCCCAGGCCGTTGGCTGGTTTTTGTCAGGGGACTCAACAGCGAAATCGGGACTGGGAGGCGGTTAAATAAGGTCTTTGATATTTTTTTTTTTCGTGTCCTGGCAGAACAGATAAAGCGGAACCACTCTCAGGCTTCTCAGCAGCTTCCTGACTGTTTGTCCATCTGTCTGTAGATCTGGAGTAACGAGCTGGACATCTCCCTGCAGCACAGCTCCAACATGAGACCGTACAACTGGAGCTACACGCAGTTCTCCCAGTTCAACTCCGATGACTCCCTCCTCCTGGTGTCAGGTGTTTTTGTGGGGCCTCACAACTCCTCGTCAGGAGAGATTGCCGTAATCAGCATGGGTAACTACCACCCTCGCCTTCACTGGGGCTGCCTGGGGTGGGACATGGTGGGTCCTGGGGTTCCCTTCCTCTCTGGGCATGTGGTGGCCTTGACCTCTGCTTGTCCTGCCTCCTACCGCCTGTGCAAAGGGGTCCCAAGCGCGGTTCCGTGGGGCAGACCTTCTGGATAGCCATATCTCTGCGCAGGTCACCGTGGCATCACCACAGGCAATGAGCCATATGTTTATTCTTGCTTAACTTCCATCCTAAGTTTAATTTCCATCCTAAGTGACAGTCTGGGCAAGCCAAGAGTTACCTGTGTTACCTGTTCTCTTGAAGCCACCGTTTGTGACTCAGGCGGTGCTTGTCCCACCTGAGGTCTCGCGTGGCTTTCTTCCGGATCTGCCTCACCTCTGCTGCTGCAGTTCTGTGAATCCTGCTGACCCCAGCTGCGCTCGCTCTCGCCGTCTCGCTGTGCAGTCCCGCTGTGCCAGCAGTCGAGCCGCACTCAGCGCGCAGCTGTCTTGCTCAGCAGGGCCCTGAGCCCCAGGGGCGGGAGTGGAGGAGTTCTGTACGTGCTTGACGTGCCTGTCCTCGGGGTTTCTGCTTTGGACCACGCTCGGAGAGAGGCCGTGAGGTCAGGTTGCTCTCCGGTCTGGCTCCGTCTGGCTGCCCTTTTATTTTGGTTTCCCTTGTGCCCCCTCTCCCCGCGTCTCCGTAGAAGAGAGGAATAATCCGTCTCCGCAGTGGTGACTGGAGCAGGACGGTGGCCGGGCAGTCTCCGCTCAGCGTGCGGTGCCGGTGCTGCCCAGTGCCGCTCCTGCAGACTGGGGTCCACTCCCCGTGTCTTCCGCCACCATTTCTCCAGAGCCCTTGCTGGGAGCCGTCGCCTCACCCCATGTTTCCTCTCCCTTCCAGACAACTTCACCCTGCTTTCCAGGGTGAGGAATAAACCCTACGATGTGTTTGGCTGCTGGCTGAACGAAACCAACTTGATATCGGGCAACCTGCATCGGATTGGGCGCATAACCTCGTGCTCCGTGCTGTGGCTGAACAACGCTTTCCAGGTGAGGTGCCTTTGCTCCAGCTCCACAGGCCGCGCAGCTTCCTGCGGTGCCGGGGGAGGGAGGGCTGTGGCGGAGGCCTGAGCAGAAGAACGGCCCAGTTCTCCCTGTTTGTCTCCTCTGACTTGCTCTCGGGATTTTGAGCTCGAGGCGACCCTTGCGTGAGGTTTCTCTGCGCTCGGTGTGGTGGTGAGTTTTCTCTGTGCGCGGTGTGGTGGTACCCACTGCAATATTCTAACTGCCCTCGGCTGCCGTTAACTCTTGCCCCGTTAGCTGGGATGAGGGCTTGGCCGCAGTGCCCTGGAGCGTGCGTTGCGTGGCAGGAGGGTGGCTGAACCCCAGCAGGGTTGCTGAGGCGCTTGGCGGGCTGAAGCTGGGCCCGGGACGGCTGCAGTCTGGCGTGTACCCAAGCAATGGCCGTTCTCCCGCTTGGCAGCTCGGTGCGTTGTTCCGGGGAGCCGGGGGCAGCCGTGAGGCTGAGCTCAGCCCTGCCAGTCCTGGCTGAGGTTTCTGTGGGCCAGGAGCTGTGATGAGACCTGGAGATTGGTCTGTGCTGGCCTTGGACTGCTTGCTTGCTGCTTTTTTGTTCTCTGGCACTTGTGCTGCTCGGACGTGTTCCTCTTCCACGTTCTGCCTCCATCTCAACGTCACGGCTGCACATCCCGGCGGGTTGCGTTTTTTGACACGAATGATTGATGCTGGCCCGGGGAAAATCCTCTGGTAGTAGAGCCCCTTCCCAGAACCACATCTCTGCGCTGCGCTGACACTGCAGCCGTAACTCCTCCATCTCCGGGAGGCAAGGGAGGACCTTTCCCGCTCCGACGAGGGGTTCGAAGCAGGGCCACGGGCTGGCAGCGCCGCTGGGCGGGAGGAGACCTGCTGCTGGTGTCTGGGAGCCAGAAGCCTGCTGGCCCTGCTGAGGGGTGCCAGCAAGCCCCAGGGGCACGGATGGGGCCTCGGGCGGGGGCAGGCAGCAGGGCTGCCCGGCCACCGTGTTCCCCAGCTCTGCTGTCTGCCTGCAGGAGCTCTGTCTCCGCGTGCCCACCTCCGAGATGAGAAAGGAGCACAGAGCTGGCCAGCTCCTGGGGTCGGGGCTCTGTGTATCAGTGCATGGAGAGAGGTCGGCACTGGGCTGGGGCCTGCTGTGCGGGCTCAGGGTCTGGGCAGGTGGCCCTGGGTTTGAGCTCGGGAGTGACCCTCCAGTGAGGTGGGTCCTGCTCACTGCTCCCGTCCGCTTGCAGGGCGTAGAGTCCGAGAATGTGAACGTGGTGAAGAGGCTGTTCAAAATCCAGAACCTGAATGCCAGCACTATCCGGACCGTGATGGTGGCTGACTGCAGCCGGTACGACTCCCCGGACCTACTCCTGGACTACGAGGAGCAGCTGGCTGCTTCCTCCACCTCCCCCTGCCCGGTCTTTGATCTGGGCAGCGACAGCGAGGAAGAGGAGGCCAAACCCAAGCAGACGCCAGAGCCGGCAGTACAGGAATTGCCGGATGAGGGGGGTGTGACAGCAGAGGACGGGCTGCAGCAGTTCTTTGATGATATCATGGAGGGCCGCGTGAGGCCTGCCATGACCGAGACGGAGCTGGAGACCAAGGTGGCCGAGCTGTTTGTACGCAACAGAACTAAACCGCCGGAGCTGAACCTGCTCCCCACAGACAGCAACAGCAAGACAAAGTACTTAATCTTCACCACTGGCTGCCTCACCTACTCCCCACACCAGATAGGTAAGGCTGCGGTCTGAGCCCGCAGCACGGCCTCTCCCCGGGGGCGTGGCCCCGGGTTCGATGTGCTGCCCGTTGGGGTTCGATGTGCTGCCAGTTCGTGGTGAGGGAGCTGCGGTGCCGCTCGGGCTGCCGGGCGTTTGCTGCGGGGTCTTTGGGGGTGCCCCCAGTCTCTGGAGGGGGTTTCACCCCACGAGCGCGCACCTGAGCGTTGTGTTGTTGCTGCCAGGCTTGACTCGTGGCCATAGTCGTGGCGAGGGCTGAGTGGGGGATCCCAAAGGAGCTCCTGGCTGATGGATGGGACCCACGAGTTGCGCACGAGCAGGTGGAGGTGGAGGGCAGCGACAGCTCTGACCGCGGCGTGAGAGGGCCTCAGCCCTGTTCTTCTGGGGGGTGGAGGGGGCATCAGG